GTAATTAGTAATCAAAGGAGAAAAGCTTAATGACAGTCGCATTTTATGTGGTGAAGGTGTACAGTGTCTCATGTGGAGACCGATTAGTTGTTCAGCAGTCTTGAGAAAGCAGCAACTGAAGCCATGCTATTATGTCAGCCAAGAATAACAATCAAGAGAAATGAAAGAAAGGTTTTTGCGAGGATCAAGGCCACTACAAAATGAAGTATAGCCACGATAGCGTGCAGTTCTTGATAACGTGCCTGCAGTCCGCGAAAGAGGCGTTTACAGGACAAGATGTGCGGTACCGGATGGTGCAAAGGCAGAGCTCGGAGGGCTACATAGCCAGGACAACTATTGGTCGGCTAACGCGTGCTTTTACCGTTAGTGGGATACTTGGGATGACCCGTTTTCCTTTAGAAAACTCTTGCAATTGCTTTTTGCTCCATCTAGAATCAACCATCAGGACAAAGGCATAGAAAGCCTACCCGAAACCTAACGAATGACTTAAGGTCCACTCCGAAATTTACAGTGTTGCATGTGCTGTGCAGAGTTAAAGACGGATATTTAAGCCTGAAAACCAACAAGAACTATTCCGATGGCTCACTTGATTGGGAAGTGTACTGTCGCACATTAAAAAAAAGATATTTGGTAGATCTAAGAGTTATGCTCGCTTACCGGTTAAAGGTAAAAAGTGTTTTGCTGTGATCAATGACACTGATTCTACAGCCTTCTTTGCATAGCTGTGTGATTACCGCATTGCGTAATTGGAAACTGCGAGCGTTTTATACCAGTAAATTTCAGCCATTGAAGTTATTCCTAAACCAAATGTACCAAATACGTAAGACATTGTGTGGGCTGATTTTAAAGGGACACTAACATGATAACCCGGGTTGCTTCGCCATGTTGTCCCAATGCCTGATGGAGCAAAGCACGCAACCATGCTTCTGAAACGAATTGTGGGACGGCTACAAGGAAATCACGGGATGTAAACAGCGGGCGGGCGGGGGCGGAAAGGGTTTTTGCACGACAGGTGTGGATACCTTCTTGGAGTCCTTCTTTGCGGCCTCCTCTTTCTTGCTCGTGGCGCCGACGTGCGCGAAATAGGCTATGACCTTTTTCGTGTTCTCAGTCTACCGGCACCAGACTCGCCGCTAGGGGCAGCGGAGGAGAAAATTGAGGGGGCGGGAAGAAGAAAGAGAGAGAAAGAGAACCGTTGACGCAACGGCGGTTACACCGAGGCATCGAGTCGGGTTATTAACGGACGTTCCGGAGGTTGGTGAGGTGTTCGGGTGCGGAATCCAGTCTGGGATTGGACTGGGTTGTTACGTCCTGAGATGTTCTTTAGTACTGGTTTTCGCGGGGGATTTCAGGTGGGAGTCGGTAAGGAGGTCGTGCATCTAAAGGAGTGGGGGTCCTTCTACCTAAAGGATACACCATTTTTCCCGAAGGAGAATACTTCCTTGAAAATAAGAGTACCTGAACCCTAAGGCCAACGCATGCCTTTTGCCTAGAAAAGATTATTCAAACACTGAATACGTATAGCCTAACTTCTGGACGTTACGTTTAGCGGTAAAGATGTCGTTAAAATTTAAGTGCAACAAAGAAGCGAGGCCCCGGTCCACTCTACCGTGCCAGACCGCCGCAATACGCTTATTGCGTTGACAAGCGCTTGAAGTACGTAAAGACGTATCTGACATCTCGATTCCTTTAAAAAGCTCTCCTCCTGCATGTTCCCGCGAAATGAAATGCCGCGCTGAAACATCGAGTGCAGTGCACCTATCTTGACGTGTGACGTTAACTCATCAAGATGGGTGCCCTGCCAACGACTACGCTGCCCCGAGGACACAAGGCTGTGACCTTTAGACGCAGCGACAGCGTACACAAGAGGCGGCAACATCTGCATGCGAGTTAGGGCTTGAGCATCGACTGCTGCTGCAGTCGCCGATGTGGCAGCCAAGAATATTGTTTGTTCTTTCCACTTACTCCGCTGGAAAACTGCTGCTTAAAACCCGAGGCGGCGATAAGGGCGAAATACTGTATGACTTTTTTGGTGTTCTCAGTTTTTCCCGCTCCTGATTCGCCACTGGGAGGTAAGAGGGAAAGGAGGAAAGAGAGGGTTACCGGGCAGGGGTCAACAAGACATCAGAAAACACTCACACGCGATGTAACAAGATTCCGCCACAATTTTAAATTTTGTCTAATTATCTGTCTTTAATTACCACGAAATAAACAATTACTGGGTGCAACTTTTTCACATTACCCTGAAATTGTGATATTTGGTGAACAGACAAGTGTAAATGTCGTAACAACGTCACACAAGGCTTAAAAGGCGTAAGAGCTGCTCCTTCTTGCTATACCCCTTTTTGTCAAGAGCAGTCAGTTTCGCTGCAGGAGATCCAGTTGGCTAGCACTACAAATTTTAGCCTCCAATATTGTCTCATGCAAAGGAATCAAGAACACAAGGCTATTTGGTGTTTGGTAGATGAGACCAAAAACGCGGCAATATGAAAATAGGTGGAAGAAAGTTTCCTCCAGGATTGCCTTTTGCAGATCTCACACCACTGTACCCAAGTAGCCCAAACGTCTGCTCTTATATTTATAAAATTATATCAGGAAACCAGGAAATACAAGATGTTAAAAAATCTTCGGGGGCAGTGTGACTTACGTGATAAGCATAGACTGGTTCTCACGGTCTGTAATAGAAGAGAAAGAAAATACCATTACAATGTTGTCCCTAACGGTACCCTAGTACTGAAGTAGTGATTAAGAAAATGTGAGCCGTGAAGGCAACGTATCACATGAGTTGAGTCATTTGGAAAGTTGATTTCTTACAAACAACAGCTTGCAACTACGCCATCTAGGGTTTATTGGCAAGTTTGGGCGTTGCCTGCTGCTAAGTAATATGCAGCCGTTAAAAAATACTAGGTTGTGCAAAAAGAAGAAATAATAATGGTACACGTAATACTTCTGAAGCACCTAAATGAGAATATAAATTGTTGATGCAAGTACTCAATCACGATATGTACAACATACTCCCAACAGCGAAAATTAGCAGGCATATTGACGCCACTGATCACTCGAAGGATATAATCCTAAAAAAGCTGAGCTTTTCCATGGCCGTATCTTCGAACTATTCACTCCATTATTCAATAGTTTCCCGCTATATAGTAAGTTCCCACAATTTTTCTACGCCTGATGCCGGTTTTGGGAGTGAATGAGTTGCAAAAACTACAAGACATCTTTTCTGCACAGCAAGAACTGATGCACACAGAAAGTGCCTCCCGTCTTTGCTCCAACTGTTACGTGTAGTGCAACATCGCCAGTGTTCGTCCGTGGCTATGCATGCCAAATAGAACGCACGTCGTGTTATCGTGTAGTACAGCCATGATCAAAACGCTGCACTGTACGTAATAACTGTAGCTAGGACGGAACGCACAACTACCGTGCACCTAGGGAGGTTCCGTAACTCATCCAGGTTCTAATTGATAAGAAAGCGCGAATGTTTAGACGCTAACATTGCTGTAGCGAAAAACAGATCAAAGAAGTTTATTTTAGCTGAGTGGGGCTGAACTAAAAGCAGACACAGGCGGGATTTCCTGGAAGGAACGAGAGACGCCGCTGTTGTTACGAATAGCGCAACTGGTGCTAAGCTGCTGCAAATAAGCCTAACAACACTATCCGAAGCGGAATCCTGGAAGTTAGTGAGTGATAGCGTTCACATCGGTTTAGAACGCAATGATATGCACCGCAACGCTACGTCCACAATAACCGCATGCTCTGAGAATGCTGTAAGAGAGCTTTCGAATAGAGTACTCAATGCTTTGCGTACGGTATTCGTAGTGGTCACTGCCACTGCGAATACGTCATAACGCTGACCGCCGTTAGCGTTCGCGGTCCACACGCAGAAAGTACAAAACAGGGTGCAGGGCGAGAGGCCCACAACGCCCGTTTGCGAGTACCGAGGGTGCTGCGAGTCTGCGTTAGCGTTTGCGGGGGATGCGCAAACGCAGAACCTTCAACGCCCGCTAACTAAGGGTATGGCAATCGAGAACTCCCTATTCTAAAAGTGAATTACCATACGCCACACAGGCTCGCGTGTTAAGGCTAGCATTTCTCGAAAACTACCGCGGAAAAGCCCTCAATTCAAACCAAGCAAGCAAGCTCTGGCACGAGATCTAATCTCACTTCCTTTTTCGGTAAAGTTCGTCACGGATTGCGAACCAGTACGTTGAGTCGGCACGTGCCATCAATATACCGACACACAACGAAAGCTGTTCACTGCATGAACTCCGCGTACGGTAGCCGTGACCGTCTCGATCCCGTCACAAGTAAAAACAAACATTCGAAGACACATGCGAATGTCGAAATGCAATACTCACTGGCCAACATGTCCATGTAGGCTCCATCTGAGACGGCGAACACGTGGGGAGGCACCTCAGTACGCCTGCGGCCCTTGTAGATCTCCACGACGCGCTTGGTGTAGATGGGGAAGCGTTTGTAGGGGTTGATGGCCACGCAGAACAGGCCCGAGTACGTCTGTTGTGCGCCGCAGTCGAAGAAAAGAAGGACGCGAACAGAGGACGCTGCGTTAGCCACATCGTGACCATGCCACGAAACGACATACGGCGTCTGGTGCGATTCGTCAACAGACGCGCAACATTTAACAGCTTCCGAAACGGCACGGAACGCAGCTGCTCCTAAGGCTCTAGGCAATCACGTGACCCACAGCGTCCGCCGCTTTACGGCTCCTGTATATTTTTTGTTGTTCTTTTTTGTAAGAGCCGCGCGTCTTACCAGATGTGCGCCTGAGCTGCGGAGCCTTTCGCGCAGTTGATTTCGTGACTGCGGTTGCTAGCACGAGCTCTTTGCATTTAGTTCGCGAGCTAAAACAAATATACAAAGAAAGCATTCATAATAAAAAATTATGGCTGTTTCTACGCGTCGGGGGAATTTTTTCGAGGTTTTAAATAACAGGATGTTTTTGACGTCGTGTAAGCAAATGTTCCGCGCGTCTGCGAATTCTTGGCGACGCTCTGAAACCCCGACAACCGCGTACGAAGCCTCAGAGAGATTTAAAGGTCTAAGTTTGAGGCCGCATCTAGGTCTTAATACCTACAACCGCAGCAGAGTATGGCTACGGCAGTCTACGGAGACAGAATGCACACGCGATAACAAAGTTTTTGAACACGAGTTTGCAAAGCATGCAGTAACCGTAAGAGCGATTTCACAAATTTACACGACTTGTGGGCTATGACAATAAGTACGAAACTTCTTGGTAAAACACAGCTTCACGCCTCGTCAAGGAATCCTATAGGATGTCAATCGACTGTTTCATGTACACATAAACAAAAAATGTGACTTTTTTTCATTTCTTTTTCATAGGAGATGGTGCAGATGTTCCAAAACCAAGAGAAGAGAATTTAGCGGGAAGGTGGATCCCTGCAAAGGCGTATGCTGAGGGGTGCAATAAAAACAACTGAATGAAACAAAAAGACAATCAAATACAAGCATCAAAAGGGGGGAAAGTCGATGGAATCATGCCGTCGTGCATATCATGCAGGGGATGACACCCAAGCTGCAGGGGAGCCATGCTGGCTTTCGGCGTCCTTCGTAGCCTACCGTTCAGCGGTAGGTGGAGCTTGATGGCTGTTTCGTGGCAGGATCCACTGCAACAGATTTCTACGTTCCCGGATCAAAGGTGTGGTGGGTTCTACGGGTAGGCTCTGTCCTTTAAGAAGGAGGATTGAACAATGCTTTGGTGGAATAATGAACATTCCAAGTGTCGTGCAACGTTTTTACTTCTAGGAGAAAACGTTCTATGGGGTCCTGGCTGTATTTACCATTACACTGCATTACGCAAAGAATTTTCAAGTACAATTTAGTAGAGAATAAAATGCATTCAAACTCGAATTCATGTGTACAGATAATTTAGAAGTAAACAGGGCCCCATAGGCAATTCGTGAATCTCATGCCACTATGGGTACAAGGGGTGGTGTTTGGGGTCGTTCTGTGGTGTGTTGAACGCATGAACTGGGATAAGGATCGTGACTGGGCGTCGAAATCAAGGGTTTCTTTTGTAACTTGGTGTCTTACTTTCAACAAAATATTGTACTTATGATCGCAGCTGTTGTCAACATGGAGGGCACAAATAGTCAGATGTTTCATTTTAATGAGTGGTGCCTGTTTTGAGAACGACGAGGTATGCCCACTGACTGCGAATGTGTTCATATGTAAGCATGGCCTCTTCTTACGAAGTGCCATTTTGTGGTCTTGTGGTCAAACTGAAGTAGAAGGAATACTGAATTGCGATTTTCACTTGCGGTGATATAATTTGGACTGATCGAGAGAAATTTCTAATAAATATCAGGGCCAGGTAAATATTTGGGCAGCAGAAATAAGTGCACTTGGCTTTTGTGCTCCCAGTTGACGAAACAATACTCTAAGCCTAAATGAACGCAAACTGTCAAAATAACATAACCAGAACATCTGACCACATCTTTTATCGCTGGGTCTACGTTATTAAATAGAAGGGAAACAATACACCTGCCTTACAAACATGATATGAACTTTTGTTTACAAGAGATAACAAGAAAGCTTATTTTTTTCTTCCTCTATGGGAAAGCTAGAAGATTGACTACAGTGCGAAATTCATTGGCGACTGCTTGAGAACGCTTCAATTTCCTTTTTCTTCGTGCGGGCTCCACTTAACTTCGACGCTGACCAGTGCACGCGAGTGGCTGGAGCGTAGAGGAAGTGGTTTCATGAACCGGTGTGCGTGCGGGTTGTGTCACTATAGACTATATTCATTCTGGTGCAGTAAGACTATTTGTTTCGTGTCGCGTCTTGCTGCTCGAGCGTTTTTCCGTACTCACGTAGATGAGATTAACGTAGTAACGCTCTTTGAGGTTGTGCAGCACCGAGGCGTCGTTGAGGTACGTCATGTTGGACATGTCTTCGCACTTCTCATACTTTGGCGGGTTCACCTGCTGCAGCAGGTCCTTCTTCACGGGGCGCTATACGATGCGTGCAAGCGTGTGAGCGTGGGGGCAGAGAAAAAAAGAGAGAAAAGAAAGAAGCAGTGGTAAGCGCCAAAGGCCAAGTCTGAAGCAGCAGAAATAGTTACAGTGCGGTAACTCTAATACCGCTGCAGCAGGATAAGGCGAAAGCAAATCGCCGTCGCTGAAGCACGCTGTCTTCGCTGGCGGTGCGTGGCGCTCTGCGATGAAGATCACACGGAAGTTAGTTCGAGCAGCAACGCTGGCAGAGCGCAGTGGTTTTTAGGGCGGCGGGATTTCTACTAACTACTTTGGTCATAAAGGGTAGTCCACCACGGGGGCGTGGGGCTGGCATATCCGGTGGGACATGGGTTTGGCAATTCCGATGGGGTTGGCTTTGGGGGGCTTGATGATAGGACTTGTAGGCGTTATGGATTACACTACCGGGTACGAGAGGAGTGGGAATCTCTAAGTTTGGGGCATGAGGCGTACGCCTCGAGTATGGTGCGGTGTGAAGGATTGGAAGGAAGAAACTTGAAGGAAAAGAGGTTGACACCTCCGGGTGCATGAGGAATGCCAATTTGGGGACGGTGGGTTTCTAATTTGGGAGTGCGGGTTCTACGCATCCGTAGGGGTTCGGTGCGTTGTGGTACACACGGGGATTGGACGGGGCTGTGCGGCGGGGTTTTTCCGCACTTACGTAGATGAGATTAACGTAGTATCGTTCTTTCAGGTTGTGCAACACCGATGCATCGTTGAGGTAGGTGAGGGACGACATGTCTTCGCACTTCTCATACTTTGGCGGGTTCACCTGCTGCAGCAGGTCCTTCTTGACGGTTTGCTATAAGAGCGGACAGGCATGCGTTTAAGCGTGGGCACAAAATAAACATAAATCACACAACTCCGAAACCAAAATAAAAATAAAAAGCCGTAATGAGCGCTGAAAACTCAGCCGAGCGATAGCCGCCCGGAAGGGTACATGGCTGGACCACTTCCGTAGTAAAGTGCAGCTAAAGGCCGCGCGAGCGGTGGATGCCAATGTTGGCAACACTGGGCTTCCACCTCGGTTTCCGCGAAGATTGCAGGCGCAGACAAAACAAACGTGGTTAGTGTAGCGCTGTTGCGGCACAGCGCCACCAGGCCGGCTGGCTTGAGAACGAAACGCACGCTGCATCCACGCGAGTGCCGATAAGGCACGGCAAGGCACGCCGCGGTGCGGGTGGTCCCGCACTTACGTAGATGAGGTGAATGTAGTATCGCTCTTTGAGGTTGTGCAACACCGAGGCGTCGTTGAGGTAGGTGAGAGAAGCCATGTCGTCACACTTCTCGAACTTTGGCGGGTTCACCTGCTGCAGTAGCTCTTTCTTCATGGTGCGCTGTGGGAGGGGAAAAGCGCGGGTCTCCCGGGTCAACACGTGCGCGTGACAGGTTGTGTTATAGATAACCCGTTATGTGTCCTGTATTCGAAGCATTACGTTTAATTTACGGGGGGGGGGGTGGGAATAAGGGCGCAATGAACAAACTACCGCAAGAAAACAATAAAGGTTCAACCGGTGACCAAAAGTCGTGTGATTCGTTTAAGTGTCCAGTGAAAATTTGTGTGGTATGCTACCGATACTGTTGTTCGGTAAGGGTGCGGGGCGGGAAGTCAGTCAAACATTGCAAATATTTGCATTTGGGCAACAACTCCTGTTTGAGAAGAGAACGCTGTACACCTTCAAGGCGTCTTTAATATGACCGACCTGACTATTACGGCGGGACTGAATCGGTGGCATCTTGATTTTTGTGACTCAACCACTGGACATTATGTAATATAGAGGCTAACAGGAGTTTTATACGCTCTATCAGATCCTATCATGTTATTCATTAGTATGTGATACCTGCTATAGGAGAAACGCTTATAAATCTTTAAAATGTGACTGCAAATTTCAAGCCTTCCAGCCGCGAATCTGCTTACAATAGTCTGGTTTAATGGTGCCTTCTGGGAGCACTAACATTCTGTTCTCGCTTTCCCAATACATATCCGTGCACTACCACTACTACTGGCACCGATTCTACAGTTCCAAAAGCTTTGGTTTATTTACTATCTTCATTTTATTCTTTTTTATTATCTTTCAAGGCATGTATGTATCTACGTGAGCAGCCACCGCAAGCCGCTCCTTCCGCGGCTTAGTTTGGTCTAGCTCGAGTGAAGGTAGCACAGCCAACGAGCCGAGCCAAAAGCTGGCTGCCCAACTACAAGCCAAGTTTTTTCTTTTTTTTCTACATCTTTGTTTTTTCTCATTGCACTGGGACGGCAGTGCAGGCAAGCGGCTCGCCCGCCGTCTCGCGCGTGGTTGGGTGGCGGGCGGGCAGCCGTGGAATGGGCCGACCGGTGCCCGAAATACGCGCGCTCCGCTGGCTCACCCCGAAATAGGGCGCCCCGCGGCTCGATGACGTCACGGGGTTCGTGCGGGCTAGGGTTCCGGCAGGCCCATTTAAAGCCGCATCTGAGCCGGCCACTTGGGCTTAAGCTCCCTCTTCGGCCGCCAGTGTGTGGCGCGACCACGGAGGAGGTGGCTGACTAATGCACGCAAGAATGGCTCCGCTGCTACCCGAGCTGACAGAGGTCGTGTGATCTTGCTAAGGTCTGGTGGCTCATTGCATACAAGGCACAGCCATCGCGCATGGAGACTATCTGGTGGTTATAATAAGGAGGTGCTTTACTGCATCGCTAGTATATCACACATGCGCATTTTGAAGCACTGTGGTCGGCGCCACGCTGGCAAACTTTCTTTGACATAAAGATGTCAAAGAAACCTAGTGTAATACGTATACCGGTTGTTTGACAAGAAAACAGTTTGCTTTATTTACACCATGGCCGTTTACGTGAAAGCCTTTGCGAGTAAAAAGACACGATTCTCAAAGTTTGGTCAATAATTGCTGGCCTATTGCCCCGTGAAGTTCCTTTGGCTTTCTATAGTGGTGTTAGCAAGCTTGTAATTAGTGGTCGTAATGGATGAAAAAAGAAACAACAACAGTGCGATCCCCTGTTATAGTGTGTTGAAGTATCTTACTGTTTTGTAGTTTCCTGAAGGATGTTTAGTGAACATCGTTTCGTGTGCCACCCCCGTCTAAGATGGAACTATCAAAACTATTTTGAACATAGCAGAAAAACAGTCAACACAAGCACAACAACAGAACAAAATACATAAACAAAAATTCGAAAGCCACATTAAATGACCATACGTTTAAACCGAAGACGCAAGGTAAATTATTTCTCACGCTTCTGACGTGCACTCCAAGCTCTCTAGATTTCGTTTCTCCTTTTCTTACTTTTACTAAAACATTATCTGTAATAATAAACTATACGCTAAAAATAGGCAAATAGAAAAAAAATGTCGCGTGTGCTTACTTTACGGACAATTCGATCCACCAGTGACTTCGTACAGTTACGAACAGAATTTAGCATTCCGTACCCTTCCTCTTTGTGAATAACTAAGCAGTGATAATTGCTCCAAATACAAAACCATCTATTCATTCACATGTAGGTATTTTGCCTGTATATCAGTGCCATAATCGTGTGGTACCAGAACTTTACGTTACCATAAACTCCTCCCTGAATTTTTCAACATTTTGATTTCACGAGGTCTGACCGCGTGCTTTTTACAGAATATATCACGTTACGAAATTTTCCGCAAACATTGGCGGCATCTTTATGCCTCCAAAGCAGTAATAAGCTTAAGTTATATCCATCACGAAACGTGTTTTTTTTACCTTTTTTTGTTGGCTACGCAGCCGGCCTACGAATTTTGAGTCATAAATTTAATGCCCGTCTTTACTGCTTCGAAACGGGCTTGACCACTTTCAGTTTTGCCGAGAGGTCAACAATTCTGCATTTTTTTTTATCTTCAATGTACGCACTGGCATAATTTCCCGCTTTCGATGTTACGCCTTCTTTACTTTCTAAGGTATGTTTGCTGTCTTGTCTTATGGCAGGGAAGCTCTCAGAGTGCACTGCAAAGTTTGTTTTTGTTTGCACCTCGTAAAACGACCTAATATAGGCTGGTATCTAGTGTCCATTTCGAAGACTTGGTCATGGCTTATGTGGCAACACGCGGAAGCAAAACAGAGAGCGGGCGTGGTGGTCGGCGCCTACCTCTCCGCCGGGACAGTCGACGGTGACCATGTCGCCCTTTGTAGAGACGATGTTGCCCAGGACGAAACCTTCCTTCTCGTCGGGCACCCAGACCATCTTCTTGCCATCGTAAGGCTTGGTCTGGTCCTTGCGCTTGGTCTCGAGAGAGACGAACAGGTACTCGGTGGGATCGGGGTCCTCGGCCATCGCTTCTTTCGTGGGGGGCTTCTTTCGGAGAGGAGTCGGCCGGCGTGTGCCGCTTCAGCAAGCCTTCCTGCCTGCAGTCGACAAACAGCAACACATCAACGCGTGTTCACGACGTCAGCCGAGCAGCGAGACTGGCAATATTCGAAAGCCCTAAGGCAACGAGACATGGCGATAAATAATGGGACGTGGTCTTGAGGATGAAATTAAGCAAATCGTACTTCCTAACTGAAAAGCGGTTTCATTTGCAGCTTTGGCTTTGTATTGGCGGACGGACAGTAAGTACTGTTTGTATAAGTAAGCTGTAATTCATACCGTAATGGAGCAGGTTATGCCTTTAAAACGCGAATTGCTTCTCTTATATGCCATTCACGAAGAAAAATGTGCAGTTCCGTGGTTTTATGGGGAAGTTCTGACACAAGTATTATTTCCCGTCCAGTAATCCCCTCATAAGACGTTTTTACTATGCAACGGTATCATTGAAACATCGAGGCTTTACTGAAATTCAAATATATGAACAGCGAGTGCCGCCTTCCTGGAAATCATTCACCTCATGCCTTCGGTGTCTTCAAATATTGCATAGTGCATCATTCTTTAATGAATCGTTAGCTCCTTGGCGCCCGTTGTGTTACTCCATACCACAGAACTCCATGGTAACGTGAGAAGGTGGAGGTGTGCAGATTAAGAGTTGCTCTCGATTATCCGCAATTTTTAAATGCACTGACACCCACCTCCCCCTCTCCCCAATTCTCGGAGTAGAAGAAATTAGTTCAGTATGTTCTTTCGTTTTTAGGTCATTGTAAGGAACACAAGCATAGTTGTGCACTGTTATACAACTATAACACACATCGCCAGTACTAATTTTGAAACTGAGCATCTAGGCTCATTATAGACTTTGCTTTAACCTTCAAATGTAGACCCCAGTCCATTTAAATAAAAATAGCACCGCCAATGAAACCTTTTCGATATACAAACACCGTTTGAAATCGTTTATATTAGTTGCACCAATTCAGCCGATCCCACATGATATACCTATGTGCAATCAAATGCACAGCAAGAGTAGATATGTATTGGTTTCCTGCACGTCGCGCTATACAGCGCATCATTTGTCAAAAGAATGACGGCCCACTCGCTGCCTATTGCGGCTGCTATCAGTTTTCACCACCATAAATTGACAGTTGCTGTTTGCTAAGTAACAGTGTAATAACACTTCGTGCGATACGTTTCACTCAGTGCAATGACAATTACACTTTGTGTAGGAACAAATCACACTGTAAACACTTAAAAAAATAGGCAATATGCACCAAGGTCTCTAGGAAATTCAGGATGGCCACGCCCCGTCGCAATAAACGGCGCCGCAGGCTTTGTCCTTACTCACAATGCAACAATGATATGATACTTGGTTGTAAATTACGTCATATGCAGTTATTTACGCATACAGTTATGTGTTTACCTAAATACTTCGTGTCATAAAAAGTAATCCAAATGATTGTGACGGCTGTATTAGGATAAAATTTGTCCAGTGCTCTTGAGCGCAGTTGGCTTTCATACAGTGTCTGTACGAAAAAATGCTTTTTTTTTCGTCTTTTCGTCACTACGATGCGCTTGTGGATTTCATCAAGCAATATTGGTTGCAGCGAAATGCAATATGAACATGGCTCGTAGTAGTGCGACATCAGTTTGAAGACTAAATTAACTATAATAAAAAGCTTAGGCAGCCATTAGCAAATATAATTGCTTTTCATGCGTCACAGCTAGTGTACGCGTTGTTATCTTGGCCGTAAACTATAAACTACGAAGAGGCGCTGAATTAGGAACAGATAAAGCTGACCACCAATGTAGTCCTTTGTCGTCAACAAACTTCAGTTATATTACAAGAACTAACCGAAATTCGGATTCCGCTCAGTGCATTGAGCGATAATATTTGATTGTTGTTTTAGAGATAAATTTTTGTCCTTGTTTATGCGAAAACGTTTTTGATAATGAAAACAGACTCTTATAATTACATACTTTGGTGAAACATACCTGTCTATAGCACAAATGATAGACCTTAGGATAGATTTTTTGAGCCACCATTGTGCCAGAAAGGCCTCGCGATCTTTCAAAGCTTCCTCCATTCTTAGCCACCTCTTTGTGAGCCTGTTAGAATTCTTGTCTATGAAGCAGCACTGCTGTTTCATTTAGTCTGTGTCTTTGAGCAGTGCCATAAAATATTTCGAATGGTAAGCATAATGGTCACTGCAATATACTTCCATAAAGTTCAACGAAGGACAAATGAGTGACATTGATATTACCCCTGGATCGACAACCGTGAGAATGAAATAGGGTTCAGTTGCGCATCATGAAATCGTGCCTGCATCGTCAATTCAGTACGTGAAGTGATCTATTTAAAAATGAGCAGCTCTTAACTTGAGCTCTACGCCTACCCTTCGTGGACAGCACGGTGGAAATATACGCTTCTGCTTAAAAGCAAAATAATTGCCAATGATAAAGGATTTTGCTTCCTAGGCATTCTATCACTTGCTTAACAAGGCTGTAGATCCTGTTTTCTCGGCTAAACGCACTTTCACGAGAATTTTGCTTATTGCGAAACAGTTGAAAAAAAAAAAAAAGCTCTGCACAGCATCGAAGGTCGCTTGAAAGTCACCTCCCTAAGGGCACCAATGTAACGGCGGAAATGAAATTAGCTAGCGTGAAATCTGGAAAGTGATGCCGTATTAGGGTGCCGTCGCTTTACCATAATAATATGAGCACTTCCTTCTTGCACTTTTGATTACACGCACACGGCGCTTCCAATGTTGCCAGGCCTAAAAGGTATCTAATGGTTAAGATCTGCTTATTCACCAACGGCTTACGTACGATACAAGGTAGTCGATATCCTCAAGCAGCAGCTCTATCTTGCACTATAGCGTAATCCGTATCGAAGTGGATGGCGCTGGCGGACGTTGAAGCCTGCGGACACCAGTGGAGGCGAGGCCTTACCTGGCCCCGGTGAGGGGGGGTGGCAAAAATCCCGAATCTCACGAGAGTAGCCCTCGGCGACGTCGTATCCAGATGCGCGAAGTTGCGTGAGGCACAGGGGCACTTACGTTGGAAAAGCTCAGCTGTGGGGGCCGTTCCGGACGGCGGGCTGCTTTTAAGCGAGCCCGCTGCACGCGCCAGCCCCCGAAACCAGAGAGGGGCGCGCCATTGGACGCCGCCATTTCCCCCTCGGCACCCCCCTCCCCATACAAAGCCTGGAGCGCCTTGGGCACGGAGCCTCCATTTTTGGACCAGGGAGTCGCAGGCGCTTCGCCAAAATAGCCGGTGCCGTCGGCGGCGGCAGAAGCGGTGGGGCAAGGCCGCCAGGCTGTCAACCCGGCGGTCGAAACCTTAGGACTCTATAGGAATACCTCGACTGGACACTGACCGGTGTTGAAGGAAAGACTGGTAGAAGTCATGCCTTCAAACGAAGCCTATCTGCAATCTTAAAACCATCGTTATCTGCTAGAGGATAAAACGTTATATAACATTCAAGTTAATGCTGATGTACAGGCTTAAACAAATCTGGAAGACTCTTCACGGAGTGGTGTGATTGTTATTTTGCCTCTCCGTTTTATGTGCACAGCTAACACATTGGCATGTTTGACGCGCAATAAATCCGCAGTACTGCGGGGCCACAATCTATGCCAGCATTCGAACAGGTGGCGATAAGCGTTTTGTAGTAATGTAAATAACTGTTTCACCCGTGGCCGAATTTCTTTAGCCCGACTGCATAAGAGAGGCTCGATTTCTCCCTTACGGTTCTAGCGTAAAAGTTCCATGTGGTATCGCCGCCAGAACGGCACCTAATTATTGGCTGTGTTAGTGTGGAGGAATATCAATCAGGTTCACCGTTTTGACCACCGCGCCTTCAAAATTCTCTGCGGCGTGCACAAGGACCTAGCTGCTCTTGCACCGGGAGGGCAGGGTCGACGCCCTGAGCTAGCTTGAACGGGATGGCACAGTTGGCCCTCTCCGGGCGCCCTTTGGCACGAGCTTTTCAGCGACGACTTTGCGGCACCCCCTTGTGTAAGTGGCACCTGTGCTACGGAAACCATTTGAAATCTCATGATCCTATTACACCGATTAGCAGCTGCTTGTTTCGTGCTGATGCCTACTGGCCTGACTTTTTTGCTGCCAGTGAGCAGTGTATACCGAAATAAATTGTATTCAGAAGGGGAAATGCATGTAGTCGGAGATGTATTAAGGCAGAAAAGTTAGAATGGCTGATCAAACGCGAAAATTATTCGTCGGTGTCTTTCATTAGCAGTGTCAGCAGGAGTCTTGAAGAAAACAAGAACACGGCGCATCTAGAAAGAGAATGAGGATGAGTGGGCGAAGCAGTGATATCGTTCTGTGTTAGTGTAAATCTTCCGTGACGTTGGCCAGTCACGCTTGCAAATGAGTGGCAATGCTGTATACAGTTTTATACAAGGTTTATTGGTCATAACTGGTATGCTGTGATGATTTCTGAATTTCATTTTGCCTTCACCATCACTGTTTTCTGGTATTGGAGTCAGCCCGAAGTTTGCGAAAACGAGGTGTGTATGCATGGTCCCCTGGTTGTTGGCTCTTTTCGGTCATACGAAATGCGTCGTAGAGCCTATATTGAGACGTTAAACACTGCATAAGCCAGTCGTTGTTCACGATCATCATCGTGATCATATACATCGCCATCCGCGTCATCGTCATCATTGCCATGGCGCACACCAACGGGCAAGCTTCGACCTCAAGGAGCTAGGTCTCTAATTGTCGTTATTACGTGATCGCATCACTAAGAAACCATGTTATCCCAAATTGCCAAAGTCTGTGCTGGTAGAGGATCAGTACGTGGACTTAGGAAAAAAAAACTAAAAAAAAAAGATGGCTCTCGCATTTGAGTCATCTTGTACTGAATGTGCAGAAGAGGTCGCCGCAGACAACCGGCCACATCTGAACCCATGATCTTTTTTTATGAGGTTGTGTCCTGCTCCTGCATAAGGTACCACAGGAGCTCATAACAGAAAGACTTTAAGATAGCGCTGATTCACTCTTGCCATTGTAAACAAAACTAATCGACTACACTTCCACACAAATCAAATTTTAGGAATTTCACGCCGCATGCCTTTGGATGTAAATACAGACCGGTTGCTGTACGATTACCAGCCGTGTATATTTCGCGAATAGTAGCACCTGCGTCCTATTTCAAAAATAAAATTTTAAGCTTGCGATGAGCATTTGTGTATTGTGATTTTTGGCTCCCTAGATATAGTTCGCACTGTACACAATAACCATATTGCCGAAGAAGCACGCAGTAATTATCTTTCGATGTTTATTATTCGAATGTCCGTAACGTTTCTTCGAACTTGGAAGTGATGTTGTGGACAAATAAGTTAAGACTATTAAAGCATGTGATTCTGGAACGGAATGAGATTTTTTTTTTTTTTTTGCAGAGCTAAAAACGCACAACTGCTTTTCTGTGATAGGAAGTCCACAATGACAGACGCACATTTAAAGGGAGAGAGAGAATAAAATGATGGAAAGGCAGGGAGGTTAACCAGAAAATGAAGCATCCGGTTTGCTACCCTGCACTAGGGGAAGGGGGAATGAGGAAGAAAGATGGGAAAGAAAGCGAAGAGGGAAATAGACGCGCGAAAAAAAAAAGGGCTGGGGTGCTATAGTCTATACAATAAGCCACTGCCACGCAAAAAGTTCAGTAAGGCCTTCACTGATTTTCTGTGAGCACACAAATCATGTCGCCTTTCTAGCACTGATTGAAAGGGACACGTTCAGCAAGATAAATAGAGTAGGATGCACAAACACATAGGATACAAAAGTTTGAAGGCCACCCTTATTGTGGACTTGGGTGTGTCGTGGTGGCACTCGCTCGTCAGGTGCGTAGGTGCATTCCTTGAGATAACTTAGCATTTTGTGCACTGCTGAAGCGAATCTCGCAGTTCACGGTCATAGAAATGCGTCGTTGAGATCTGTTCTGCTGGGTGGCACAATTATTCCATCTGCCAACAACCTTTGAATGAACCCAATAAATTCATTCTCATTCTTTTTTGGACAGTGAATTGGCTGTTATTAGAATAAGAGTAAAATTTTATTAGTTCATTAAAATCAAGCTACAGCCTTTCAGTGTACAGAAGGCATATGGGTGGCTATGTTTCCTAAGAAAAAAAACTACAGGTGCAGCAGCCGATGTGAAACTTCCTGCTTATAAAACCTTTATAAGGCCAGTTCTTGAGTTTGTGTCGGTGGTATGAAGCCCTCATTATTATTATTTAAAGAAACAAATAGAAAGAATTCAAAGATACGTGGTGAGATTTATATGCTTCCGGTATCGATGGACGGAATAAGTTACAGAAATGCTCCATTCTTCTGGCCCCCATTTCTTAGAAACGCGCAGGTAGAGAAATCATCTGAAACTATTATTTCAAATTCTAAATGGCCAAATAAATATAAGTAAAGAAGTCTACTTACTGCCGCCAGGTGAACAGAGCTCAAGAAGCAACCAAAACAGGGCCATTCAAGCGTACAGCACTCATACCAATGCATTAAAATACTCAATTTTTCTAACACAATTGAAAATTGCCATGAATTGCCAAATTGTTGTTGACCAGAACGATTTGCCAAATTTGAACAGACCTTGGATGACTATCTGTACACATGTGGCATGTAGCGTTCGATCTTGATCTAATCTGTATTTGTATATTTGCTAATATTGTTTGCTTTGCTTTATTATTTTGTTATGTTACCCTCACTGTAAGGACTCTCGCATGAGCGTTGACAGTATTGCCAAATAAATAAATAAATAAATAAATAAATAAATAAATAAATAAATAAATAAATAAATAGAAGGAGGTTCCATCGTCCTAAATTAGGTGACGCTGATTTGATTTGATATGTGGGCTTTAACGCCCCAAAACCACCTTATGATTATGAGAGATGCAGTAGTGGAGGGCTCCGGAAATTTCGACCACCTGGGGTTTTTTAACGTCCACCCAAATCAGAGCACACGGGCCCACAACATTTCCGCCTCCATCGAAAATGCAGCCGCCGCAGCCGAATATAAAGTGACACTACGATATAACATCTAGCCACTGTAGCCGTCGACTTGAACCATAACTATATACTTGAGCTTGAGATTATGTTTTTCTGAGTATTCGTAAAGCTTTCAAGGCATGACTGGAACTGCGTTGAAAATAAACAAGGCTGTCACTCAGAGTGCTTGGTACTAAAATGACAGTGTACACGGGTAGCACCATTTTTTTTTTTTTTTGCTCAGATGCTCATTTCTTCATGAATGTCCTTAACAATAGGATGGAACAGTTGTACACACTTGACTCATGTAGATTAACAGGCTCTCACAGAATAACTGAATATATGACATTAAGGCAACTATGGCGGTCACGCTGCGTAACAATGTCATCACCGATTGGCTCTTCCAGCATTCTGCCAAAAGTTCGCAGTGCGTCGATTTGTGAAGCCAGTACAACTCACCTCTGCAGAAGGTTTCGCGTCATTACAGAGCTAGGGCCTGATTTGCACTGAACACTAGGAAAAGCCAGAGCAGAGTGTGTCTAGAAAAGATCAAACATGAGGTCGAAGTCACCATTCCAGATTTTGATGAAATTCGCTGCGTACCTCAGTATTAGAGCCAGAATAATGACTTCGAAGTTAGTTCTATGGAAAAAAATGTTTTGCCCGAAAAAGAAGTACATTACTTTTTGCAGCTAAAAATGCTCTTTTGCCAATTTCGCGATATCTGAAATTTGACCACGTGAAAAATAGGGCGCTTCCTAATCGCAGTAGTTCTTCTCCCTAATTAAAAGGTTACGTGGAATCTTGTTAATTAATTAAGATTTTATGAGCTTAAAAGATTTAGAGGAAAAAATGTCACATACATGGCCAAACGAACAAAATATCTTCATTGTCACGAATGTATTGTGACAAGCTATATGATAAGATGATATATATCTCTATATAAAGATACCTACAAATAAACTATATGCGAAGATAATAAAATCCGGCGCACATTACTTTGGCACTTTAGTTT